TCCGAATGTTTATTTGTTCTGTAGGTGAATCCGAAGAGCTATGAAGCTCTTTTTCACAGATGTCTAATATGGGCCAGTACGGCTTGGAAGAGAGGAGGAGTATGCACTGTCCTACATTATCAGAGTTGTGTTTTTTGTTTGCATTATGACTGCAGGTATTGTGGTCTATGCAAACATGACTCCTTGTAAAAAAGGTGTCAGTTTTGTTGGCAGATGGAAGGGTAAAACACCAATTATCATATTTTTTACTGGCAAATGAGGTTCCAATGGTGTAAATGCTTACCCCGAGCTCTCATACTCTGATGGTGCATTGTCTTTGAGTTGTGCGCCTTTTTGCGTCATCTGGTCCAACACCATGTGAGACTAGGCTCTAAGGAAAGCTGTCTCGGGTGTGGACCAATCAACTTCAATGACAGTGCACATACATTATCAGAGTTGTGTTTTTTGTTTGCATTATGACCGCAGGTATTGTGGTCTATGCAAACATGACTCCTTGTAAAAAAGGTGTCCGTTTTGTTGCCAGATAAAAGGGTAAAACACCAATTATCATATTTTTGACTGGCAAATGAGGTTCAAATGGTGTAAATGCTCACCCCGAGCTCTCATACTCTGATGGTGCATTGTCTTTGAGTTGTGCGCCTTTTGGCGTCATCTGGTCCAACACCATGTGAGACTGGGCTCTAAAGAAAGCTGTCTCAGGTGTGGACCAATCAATTTCAAGGATAGTGCATACTTTATCAGAGTTGTGTTTTTTGTTTGCATTATGACTGCAGGTATTGTGGTCTATGCAAACATGACTCCTCGTAAAAAAGGTGTCAGTTTTGTTGCCAGATAGAAGGGTAAAAAAACAATTATCATATTTTTTACTGGTAAATGAGGCACGTGTAAGTTAATCGCCGCGGCATTGTTTTTAATCCTTTATATTAAGTTCGCTTGCTTGCTTGCGCGCTTACGACCATGCAAATCTTTCGGTCGTTTTTTTAACCCACTTCCCGTGATCCAATCGAGCTGACATTTTGCACACAGACTCGTTGTGCGTGACAATTTATTTTCGTGAAACATTTTTTCCAAATTTTCTACATTTTAGGAATTTTTTTTGATGTTTAATTACCAATTGCTTAATGGTGGCAGGCAATCATCTGACCCACAGGTGGCAGCCATCTCAAGCCAGAGGACGAGAGGACTCTAGCCGCCACGCATATAAAGGATTTAGAGTGAAAAACTTTGTTTTTACGGGTTAATTTTTTATCATTGTTGTTCGCAGGAGGCTTTGGAAAGGTGACGTGGCACTGCTAACCCTCCAACACGCTCGCATCAATCGCCCGCCCCCGTCATGGGAGACAAGTCCGGAACCCGGTAAGTGGTGGACGTTGATATTCGAGACGTTTCCTTCCCGCCCCCCACTCCTGTCTGTCTCTCGTTATTCGCGATGAGGGATACGTTCCCTCCGGATGGTGCTTGTGAAGAGCGCATTTTCGCCGGTGATGAGATGGGTCCACTTAAGTGGTGCCTAGGGAGATGTTGACTACCTCGCCTGATATACAGGAGGTCGTGGGTTCGATCCCGACCCTGACGATGCCTGCTGCTGTATATTTGGAGTTTGCGTGTCTCTCTCTCATCATCATCATCACGGTCAGTGGCTAGGAGATGTTGACTACCTCGCCTGATATACAGGAGGTCGTGGGTTCGATCCCGACCCTGACGATGCCTGCTGCTGTATATTTGGAGTTTGCGTGTCTCTCTCTCATCATCATCACGGTCAGTGGCTAGGAGATGTTGACTACCTCGCCTGGTGTGCAGGAGGTCGTGGGTTCGATCTTGACCTTGACGATGCCTGCTGCTGTGTATTTGGAGTTTGGGTCTCTCTCTCTCTCATCATCATCACGGTCAGTGGCTAGGAGATGTTTACTACCTCGCCTGATATACAGGAGGTCGTGGGTTCGATCCCGACCCTGACGATGCCTGCTGCTGTGTATTTGGAGTTTGCGTGTCTCTCTCTCTCATCATCATCACGGTCAGTGGCTAGGAGATGTTGACTACCTCGCCTGGTGTGCAGGAGGTCGTGGGTTCGATCCCGACCCTGACGATGCCTGCTGCTGTGTATTTGGAGTTTGCGTGTCTCTCTCTCATCATCATCACGGTCAGTGGCTAGGAGATGTTGACTACCTCGCCTGGTGTGCAGGAGGTCGTGGGTTCGATCCCGACCCTGACGATGCCTGCTGCTGTGTATTTAGAGTTTGCGTGTCTCTCTCTCATCATCATCACGGTGGCTAGGAGATGTTGACTACCTCGTTGTTTGGCTGCTAGACTAATTTGAGGGTGCCGATTCCAAAACTGATCTCAGATTTGCTCTATCACATCTCATTTTTATGCTATCGGCATACCCCATTTCATTGATTTCACTCGAAGTTAACTCTGTGACTTATGATTGCAAGTTGTTGCGAGTCAGTGACTGCTTTAGTGTTAAAATACGGTGCCGTATTTTTAGGATGGTGTGTTTATAATATCATTTTATGTAGATATCCACGTTTATTTAACATTTTTCTTCTGCAGTTTTTATTGAAAATGCAATATTTTTTATCTCAAAAACCTGATGTGATGGCTCTGCCAGGAAGTGGTACAGCAGCAGAGTGTGTGGACTAATCTCCATCTGTTCCATCTCACTCCCTTCTACAGCAGAGTGTGTGGACTAATCTCCATCTGTTCCATCTCACTCCCTTCTACAGCAGAGTGTGTGGACTAATCTCCATCTGTTCCATCTCACTCCCTTTCTACCCGTGGGTGGGTGTCAATGAGAAGTTGCAGGAGAAGGTGGCAGAGCAGTTGTGGACTCCACTAGTTCTGTCTGTATGGGACGGAGTGTTAACCCTCACACTTCAGAATCTTATTCTGATTCGGAAACTCGCTGAGTCTTCGTGTGTATCTAATGAGTCCTCTGTGTGTGAGACTGTGGGTCTCCTAGCCACCGTGATGATGATGATGAGAGAGAGAGAGACACGCAAACTCCAAATACACAGCAGCAGGCATCGTCAGGGTCGGGATCGAACCCACGACCTCCTGCATGCCAGGCGAGGTAGTTAACATCTCCTAGCCACCGTTTTGATGATGATGAGAGAGAGACCCAAACTCCAAATATACAGCAGCAGGTGTCGTCATGGGGTCGGGATCGAACCCACGACCTCCTGTATATCAGGCGAGGTAGTCAACATCTCCTAGCCACCGTGATGATGATGATGATGAGAGAGAGAGAGACACCCAACTCCTAATACACAGCAGCAGGCATCATCAGGGTCGGGATCGAACCCACGACCTCCTGCACACCAGGCGAGGTAGTCAACATCTCCCTAGGCACCACTTAAGTGTACCCATCTCGGCTGCTGTTCACTACCGCTGGTGTGTCTGGCTGGGTGGTGGCTGCTCTTAAGTGGAGTGGCTTGGGGTTTTTTGTTGTTGTTGCAAACTCCCCCCACCTTCACCACCACCTCCCCACCCTATCCTTGTCATCATCATCATCACGCCCTCTGCAGGAGAGCCATTGTCCATTTCCCGTACGTGTGATGTGTTGGTGTGTATGTGTGTGTGTGAGAGACACAGCCTCCAATGAGTACCTGGTGCGGTGTGGTAGTAAACATCGCCACTGGGGAGACAAAGGCGGCCGGGCGTGGTGCTGGTCCACCCACCCCCTCGTGTGCCGTGCCGGCCTTCATAGGTGCTGCTACTCGCTAACAGCACTTGCCCCTACAGTCTGTTACAGGCTACAGGGGGGATCTTTGGTCTTTGTGTTGTGTGAGTGGGTAATGGTACATTCACAGGCGGAAGTGAGCGTGTGTGAGCGTGTGTGAGTGTGTCGGGCGTGGGTGCTGGCCACCCACCCCCGCGTGTGCCGTGCTGGCCTTCGTAGGGTGCTGCTACTTGCTAACAGCACTTGCCCCAATAGTCTGTTAATGCTATACGGGGGGCTATTGTGTGTGTGTGGTGGATAATGGTACATTCACAGGCTGAGTGAGCGGTGTGAGGTGTGTCGGGCGTGGTGCGGCCAACCCACCCCTCGCGTGCGCCGTGCCGGCCTTCATAGGTGCGGGCTTATCTGATCGCAGTCGGACTGCGACCTGGTTTTTGAACCAGATCTTTGTAGTGCCAACTCAGTTGACCGAGCCACTTGGAGGATTTGCATGTCAGATGAGAATGTTTATTTTCGAACTGGAGGAGAAATCCGATGAGCTCTAACGCTCGCTTTGCTCACCGATGTCCAGGTAGGGGCACGGGGTTAAGAACGTTACCACAACACAAGCACAATACAAACCAAACAACAGCAGCGCAAAGTACAAGATAGGTAATCCAATCACCCAAACACAAAAAAATCCAAACCATCCCCTTCCTAACTATGAGATCTCTTTTTGTACCAGTTTAAAAGTGTAAAAACCTACTACTATATGTTGCCACTGGTAAAGGAGAGTCTCATAGTGTAAATGCTCACCCCGAGCTCTCAATACT